CCGCATCAGCCTGTGAGTAGCCCATTGACCTTTGAGGGCCAGTGACCATGCGACCGTTGGTGTTGACAATCAATTGAGCAGTGTCCTCTGTGTAGCCAAAGACTGCGTCTCCAGTAACGTAGGCCTTTAAAATTTAAACCAAAATGGACTTTTGAAATAATTTCAATCCTTGTTTTGCATGTTAGAAGAGCATGTAGTCATATTTTGTCGTGAAACCATGCGGTAAATTTTTTTCATCAAGAAGTCCACGCTTATTTGAGGCCAACTCATTTTATATGTTTGTCAAACGTGGGGTAAGCGATAGACTTACCTCCACGTGGTGCACCCTGGGCAACGCATGCTCATACGACAAAAATGTCCATTAACCGACAGTTGACTACTTCAAACTACCATGACCCCACTGCATGTCATATTCCACCACTTCCAAAGTCCTCCCCTTACTTTTTCTCTGCCTTTATGTCTGCCTCCTTTACATCTATGCATCACTCATCTGTCCATCCTCCCCCCCCCATCGACATGTTGTGACTTTGTCTGTTCCTCCTCTCTGTGAAGCCCGAAGTGAGCTACAGGGCTAATGATAACTATCAAAGCGCCTGCCATTTGATATAAATAAATAAATAAGTGTTTATCAAGCCTAAATCTGGAGCGACGTGGTTTAAGGTCATGGATTCATCGACGAGTTTAGACCCCTCGATCAGTCCACCACTCTAGCCTCGCCCTCAAGTCCCACCTTTCTAGCCACTTATCTAACTCTTTGAAGTTATAGGTCCGTTCAAGGTAAAGGTATGTACGGCTTCTGCTACCTACGCCTCATAGCAACCACTATCGCCTTCAAATAACCCCACTCCTCTCCATTCTCCCCCTCTTTGTAGAATGGCCAGTAAATCTATTCTCCGTGCAGTCTTCTCACTCTTCCTATCCCTTTCCTAGACTAATTAGTAACTGAGATCTAACTACTGCCCTTGATCGGTAAACACACTTGTCAGTAAGATTACTAACCGGACAATAAAATATCCCTTCTTATGCAAAGTGGCTAACTTGTCCTTTCACTAAGTCAGTTTGTTTTGGATTCACTACTCATCAGAACCCATCCAGCAATTTAGATGGCATAAGCAATAGCATAGATGATATCGTTCTGGGTGGGGGGGGGTGTTCTAGACGTCAGAATGCGATTAAGTGTACAAAGATGCTCCGTTGCAGTGCTGGAAGACTTCTGCCTTTCAACAGGCATATGAAATATTGCACATTTATGCCATCTCTTTGGAAGTATGCCACGGAGTTCCGATAGGGCAATACAATGAAGCATTTGAATTCATGTTCCCTTTTGGTTAACCATTGAAAGAGCATTGCCACTTATTGAAATGCTTTAATGTGGAGGAATATGAGGAATTGACTGATTTCCGGTGAAACTTTCAGCGATTTCAATACGTTCAAGCAACGATCTTCCATGACTTCAGTATTTTAAATTTCAGAGAAGGATGTTATTTCAATTCCTTGAATACACATAAAACTCATAATATGTTTTTAAAGACCTTCCGTCATTGCCAATCAGAGTGCAGATTAATAAGGACCTTGGGGAGGGGCGCTCGAGTACTCTGTCCCTAATAGTGCATGTCATTTCGCCTATTGTCAGTACTTTTCCATTGGTAAGTAAAAGAGCAATACCACTCTGGAGGAGGAGGGGGGGGGAATGACACGTGATGCACTTTTAAAAGAACTCTTCAGTCACATTCCCTTGAAAAGATAAGTTTATTTCTTCGATTCTATATCCCTATGACTCAATCCCAATCAGCCACGTCTATATGAGTTTATCGATTCTATAACATAGACATAACATCGTAGTTCGCTCACTGTACTCTTGTCAACACAATTATATATCTTATTGTTGTTCTCTATCTCCCAATTTCTTTTTTTTATTAACCAACTACCACAATCCCATATGCATGGAGAGATGAGGAAGGGAGAAATGGTAGCACTAACCCTGAAGGGCGAATGAGTGATTGGATGGCCATCATATGTGATGCTGATATTGTAGTTGCCAGGAGCGTAAGGCGTGTAGCTAAACTCATAGCCATCCATTCGTTCTGTGCAATTCAACTGAACTTTGCTCGGTCCATCCACAGTAACTGACAGGGCCCCACTGCCTGCGCTAGCTGTGTTCACAAAGAAACGACTGCGATCACCTGAAAGTGGGAAAAAATGAACAAATCGATAACTTTCGAGGATTGTGCCAAAAAAGAGAAAGGCAATACACACCTACTGCGTGTATTATGCTTTGATAAGACTTCCACTAACTCCACATCGATATGCTATAAACATAATTTTAAACAATTGTGATATCTGAAGTTCAGTTAATAAGCTTTACTACCAAGTCCAAAATATAGGACCGTGAAGACTATAATATCGTTTCTTGGCAAAAAACGCAAAATCACCCACCTTTAATGGACCTTCCTTCTGACTTCCAACTCTGGATACACCAGGTCTAGGGTTATGGTCGGCCTCCAGTAAGGTTTTGGTTGTTAAAATGAGCTGTTAAATTAAAATCCAACTAACTTGAGACTTTAATAGCTCAAGGTTACGAGGAATATCAAAGAATGGAATATGTCGATAAAAATTCATTAAAAATTGCATCAGATAACTTTCAATTGAGGTCGCTGACTTGTCAAAAGCAAAAGCTGGCATAAGGGACTTAAAAACTCGACCGGGGGTGACTGAAAAGTAATCTGGTCAACTGGATATATCCTATCTTTGAATAAATTGGGTGAGTTGAATTAGATTAAGACAATGTTATTAGAAAATCGGTATCCTGGTTTTCACCCAGGCGGCCCGGGTTCAGCTCCAGGTTAGGGATCGACGTTTGGGGTGTGCGATAGACTTACCTCCACGTGATGCACCCTGGGCAATGTATACTCATACGCCAAAGTCTATTAATCGGCAGTTGACTTCTGACTCCAAACTACCATGACCCCACTGTATGTCATATTCGACCCCTTCCACAGTACTCGCCTTCACTTCACCTTCTTCTCTATCTTTGAATCTGTCTCTTTTACATCTTTGAAACACTCTTGTGTTCCCCCTCCCCTCTCGACGTTTTCCCTTTGATGTTCCTCCACCCCTCTGTGAAGCCTGAAGTCGACTAAAGGACTAATGATAACTATCAAAACGCCTA